TTTACAAATAGTAATAAAATTTTAAAGCTCAGTAAGTAATACGTAAATTACACATATAAATAAGCTGAAATAGCTTAACTTAAACTACAATGTTATGCTCTTGGCGCCTCAAATATTCTACTCGTCACATGAACGCTTTTGAAACCCCTATCAAGGCTTCCCAAAATGTAGCATATTAAATGTAAACCCTTGGAAAGACTTCCTGTGCACATGCTTTTGTTATGTATTCCAAATAAGACAAGGGATGTGTTTTTAACACCACTTTATTTGTGTGTAATCAAGCACAAAGCTACACAATGGGCTATCTGTGCTCTGCCCACCACGGGGTATCGAAACCCGGTTTCTAGCCTTCTAAATCCGCAGACATACCGCTGTGCCACTGGGCCATTGGGGGGCTTTAACACCACACACACACAGATATACTGTAATACATAATAGGACATTTTAAAATTTTCATCAGAATGCCTTCGCATCTAAATACTAAAATACTGAAATATAATATTGAACTCTTCAATATTAGAAATGTTTGTGAAGATATATAAATTAGAATAAACAGGAATATTAATTTCGGTTTATTAGATGTATATTTACCTCAACGCATACATACTTTACATAATTATTTAAATACTAGAGTTTAAGTAATAAATACCCCCAGTGACACAGCGGTATGTCTGCGGACTTACAACGTTAAAAGCCGGATTTCGATACCCGTGATGGGCAGAACCCTTTGTGTAGCTTTGTGCTTATTTACGAACAAACTTAAGTAATACATTATTCAGTTTTTAACATCTGTTGTTAATCTACATGTTTCTATATAAAGTTACACGATAAAGAGCAATTAGAAACAAAACATTTCACTAAAAACAAATAATAATAACAAGCTTTATTTATAGTTTGTAATGAAACGTCCTATACTCAGAAATTATATTATACGAGCCCTAAATTATTAAAAACACCCGTTTTCATAAAAACTAGTTCGAATTTTTATAACTGAATAGTCGAAGTTGAAATAAAACAAAGAATGTGTCAGACTTTCCCTTTTTTGGGGGGGGGGGTCTATTTTTTACGCCACATATCGAAATAAGGCAAAGTATGTGTCAGACGTTCTCTTTTGAAGGTGGGTGGGTGTTTTTAACGCTATGTGTACCGTAAAATATAATAAAACGTTTTAAAATGTTGTTAAATAAAACAAGTTATATATCAAATGAAAGTAATAAAAGAAGATGCTTATCATGTTGAAATGTTGTTAAAGAGTAGAGTATTTTGATTTAAGCTCATCATGAGAATAACGCTTGTCGATACCGAAACATGTTTAACATGATAAACACGTTTTCGAATAGAATTCATAATACCTTTAGATAGATAGCTTTTCCGTAAACCTAATAACACATATGATTTCAAAATGTCAGAGTAAATGACAGTTATTCTCTTTATTTTCAAGAATATCTTCTAATCACCAGGGGAATTAAGTAGATTTTCTTAATGCTGAGAAAAGATTTAGTCGGAAGAATGATTGAAACCGACGATATAAACCAATATATCATTAGGCCTAATGTATTAAAAATAAGCCTACCACGTTTCTAAGCTTTTGTACGGTAAATCCACCGGACAGTATTTTACTACCAATGTCAGTTGTACTAACCCCAATTGCTTAGTATTGTTCAAGGTTCCTAAACAGTTTCTTTTAGAGTATAGGACAGATAAAAAAAGCACAACTTGTACTGATTGAATTAACAAGGTATTACGAAAAATCGATAGTGTTACTGTCACAATCCCTTTAATAACCATCCTTTTGTTTGGATGATTATACCTTTTTTCTGATATTTTCTAACAAATACCAATACATCCATATTCATATCGTACATTTGTTAGCTTCAACATAAACTAATCGTTCTTCAGAACGTTCACACCAGTAAACATTGTTGGTATTCCTTTCTACTGGTAATTGTACCCAATCAAAACATCATGTTCAACAATATATTCTCTTCATATCTCTCATGAATGAAAATATAAATATATATTAGATTATAAATGAAATAGACTAAAACAGAAAAAGCTACACATGTATATTGACAGCTTATATCTAACACTAAGCTTCAAATTTGTTCTCTTGAATAAAATAACCAAATATTGTATACACTTTACAATTGTTTTGTTTTTTACAACATATATCTAACGATTATCAAGATGACATTCCACCGTACGTAATTCATTAGGCAAAACAAATTGAATTCGTGCTGTGAACCCTCAGTTGTAAGGAAAAATCAAACTTAGGAAACACAACTTCTTAACGAGTAATGTCGTGATGTTCATGGTGTTTCCATGAGACTAAACCTCACTAGACTGAAAAATACTAAACGACTTCTAGTTCATCATTAATCTAAATATGAATCGTACTATGGAAAAGCTGGAAATATTAAATTTATGTGTATTGTGTTAAAATGGAATGTATGTGAAGAGCAGAGAATAAGGTATGTTGTGATTGGTTTGTTAATGGGCCGATTTATTATATTTTCAGAACAAGAACGTTTGAAGATTTCACGAGGAAGATGGTGAAAAGGATATTATTCAGAAACAGCAGGATTTGGGTTTGTCTTTGTAATGATTATATTTGAGAAAGATATATTTAGTATCTTTCAGATCTATTCAGCACAAAAAAGAATGACATAACGTTTCTAAGTCATTTCACCTTTCTGTTTTTTGAAACTTTAGCTTCTCTTCTTCTAACCAAAGTTTGTTATTGCACATAATTCAAAACTCATCTTCACTGAAATGTTATTTGGGTACTTGTTTCGGTTTTCAGTAAAGAGTAAAATTATTTTACAGAAAAAAACATCCCATTTGATATGGCCTAAAATTTGAGATCTGACAGATTATCTTCTTTTAACGAAACAGTCCCCAGGCGGCAAACTTGAGGACTTATAACGCAAATAAATGCTACTGTGTATCTTTGGACTTAAAAACAAAGAAACTTAAGAAAATGAACATAGCAAATTTAGAAACATTTTATGTGGGGTTACAATCGGCTCAGCAGAATATGTATATATTAATGTAGTTGTGGTAATTACACCTTATTTTCTGATTCTGTTGCTTGACATTTTCTAATATATTCCAATACATCCAGATTCATACAGCCTTTTTATGAAGTTATTGTAAGTAATTTAAATATAAGGTTTCCTAGACAGAGCATAATTTAAAAGCTCAGAATTAGTTACAAGAGAGCAACCAACTATTTGCACGCTTTCTATTTAACAATATAAACGAGAAATTGTTATCGTCATGACAGCACGTTACGGTGTTGTATTGGTGAGAGCAGTATTTGATTTTGGGAGTGCTCGCGTCAACTTGAAATTATAAATTATAAAAGGCGTCTTTCTTCAGGTGAAATTTCACAGTTAGGCCTAATATTTGCTATTAGTTCATGTTTTGTAAAGTAATGGTAAAGGCGGCTCTTAGAAATGCCAGTTGAATTTTTGAAGGAGCAAATGTCAAGCAGTGGCCGGCTGGTCAAATGTCCATCGGGGAGAGGTATGCTCTTATGTAAACTAATGAGATTTTCAAGCGAATTCAAAACATGTATAGTTACGTAAATATGTGTTTAAATTTGGATACTGTGATTGGGATTCTATATATGTATAACATCCGAAACGATAATCTTTAAGTAAATACTAAATGCCGTAAAATAGAGCTTCAATAGAATTCGATTTTCCTTCCTTTCATAAAGTGTTTCTAAAGATGAGTTTTTAGAAGAATAAACTGTGTAGTCATTTTCATCAATTTGACCGGACTCAGTTAGCTTTAGATTTTAACCCTTTTATTGACAAGACAACAAACAGACATACGTTAGTAGCATGAAATATGTCTCTCTCTCTCATTTTAAATACCTTATCTGTGACGTGTGCCAAAATAAGGATTCTTTTCTTATTAATTATCATAAGGTATTGAACTAAAAGATACCATATTAGCACATCAGTGCGACTTAATACAATAACTGGGTATACGAGCTAGTTAACTTCATCTAACTTTGAAAGAAAGGTTTGTGTTTCATGCTATTACACACTAATCTATTTTTCTGTTTGTTTTGTAGGCAATGTTTTATATAAAGAAGAAACAAGGAATACTATCAGAAATGGAGATTGCTTTACCCCTTTTAGTCAGTATTTTCAATCTTATATTTATATCACAAACTGGTTACTATTAGTTTTCACGACAATCTGGTCTGGGGTTCTATGTCCACTCTTTTATTTTGTGAATCAACAAAGATTCGTAAAATAATATTTGAATATATTTAGTTCTATAATTATTGCTCCATCATCACTTAGATAAAATCTTGTTGAGCGTATCGGCTGCATATGAAATACTATAATACTTAATTTACCAAATTGTTCTACCTTATAACAGACAAACAATTGGGAAAAGTACATGTGTACCCGTTCCTTATAATTAAACTACAAAAATGGCAGCTTCGGATAACTCAAAAAATTATGCCCTCTGGAAAGCATTGGTCATCAAAATTGAAATTATTATAGATGGCTATGTAGAAGTTTCGAGTGAAGGGTTAGTTTAAATTACTTTATCTAATCACATAATTGTTTTCGTCTAAATTTTACCATTAGCCATTTGAACACGGTGATGGGAGTTTTTTCTTCTTCTAACTGTGCGGCACTCACCTGTAAATATGAAATTCATTTTAGAATCTTCTTCGCTAAAAAGTCGATGTTCTCTTCTTCTGTGGAAACCCTGATGAATGAGAAAGAAGTCGCTTCTAGAACCTTCAAATAAAATCATTGAATAGTAGACTCGGCATTTCATCAAATGAAAACTTCGTTCACTTCGTTTATTTGATCATAAAGTTGTTGTTGTTACTTGTGGAACCTCCCTCCATTCGGATTGGATACTCTGCCATCACTCAGATTTAAAGTAGTCGCGGTAATGACAGCGCCACCAACCACATTGGTAGTTTTCTCAGACTGGGATGGTTACCTGGTTCTTCCGTTTTAATGATGAACTCAACTTCGTCATGACACTTATGAAAATTTAAATTCTTGTTGGTCCTATAATTTCTTTATCACCAAAATTAATGAGGTAATTAGAATGGGTTCGTATAAAAGAATTTCGATTATCCTGTGCTGAATTTTGGAGATTAACATATTCCAAGCACGAAAAAATGTTCCCTTTGTTAGAAAAGTAAATGCATCTTCTTCCGCCATTTTGTTTTTCGTAATACTGCGGCTACATTGTGACGTAGGAGCTTCGAGTAACACCCCTTGCCATCGATTACTGACCGATTTGCAAAATAGCATCCATATCTGAGGTAAATATTTCATTTTGAATTTGAGACTTTATTAACGTATAGTCATGCTATCCATTACTTCACCATAAATTTTGAAGCGTTTTGATTATTTTAAATGCTTTACACGTGTGGAGGTAATTCTTGTTTTTTGTTTCACCAGGGCAGCTTATAGAGAAGTTTTTATACAATGAGAATTGGCAGATTGAGCAACTGTTTATCTGCCATCTTCTTAGATGGTTAATAATGAAACGAACCTTAAAAAGGTCATATATACATATATATTTCACATTTGGCAAATGTGTTCTGCTCATAACCTGATGAGCAAAATTGAAAGCGTTTTCACGATGTGATTACTGCCTAACGCAATTTGCATTTCTTGAAAAATCGTATTGCTAATCCTGCTATAAAAAAGTAAAAACTCAGAAGACGAGCGTGTTGATCTGGTTATGGTACTTTCTGAAAGTTTTAAGACTGTTCAATAACATGAAATTCTACCACTTTCTTGCATTACAAACAAAGCCAAAAACATGTTCCAAACACACTCGAAGATAAGTTGAAAAGAGAATTTTTTTCTATCTTTTTTTTTATTGTTACAAGTGACATTCTTAGATACAATTCCTCATGTAGGCCTTTCAACTTTACACGTCTCTTTATGTTCACAACCGCCTGAAAAGTCATTAACGTTATTTTAGTCGTTTTGTTGTTTCTTTTCGCGCACATTGTGCTTATATACTGAGAGTAAAAAAAACACAAATTCCAACGTTTTTTGGCACAATGAAATGTAAAATCTGTATTATTAGTTACAGCCAGCTAGTTTCGGTATACATCTCTGATGATGGTAACAATGTTACCGAAATTAGTCGTTTTGGTTAATAATTCTTACAAGGTTGTAAATGTTTTAGGAGTGTAAGTTTGGAGCAAAATTATAGTTTATAAATGGCCCAAATAACGTTTCATCGCATATGAGAATCGTATCTTTTGCATAACTGCAGAGTTTCTTTTGTTTTAGCCTGCGTTGTAGATATACAAAGAGAACGTTTCAATGAAATCATATTATATAAACTGAATTGTAGTTATTACTGGTAAAACAGGCCGACCATTAAAGAACACTTACCGGTAGTATGTTACTGAAATATGCAATGTTTACATATTTGTGTGTGTGTGTCTTGCTGTTACATTATATTAAGATTCAAAATGAAAACTTTCCTTTACCTCTGATAAATCAATTTGGAAATACTTTGCCATATTTAAACGCATCGATCTATTTTAAGCTACTATGTATTTTTTCGCACTTTTGTTACATATCTATGTGTATTTGGCATTTCTCTCATTATTCATAGAATTGACACATTTCCTTAATTATGTTGCGATAATTTTCGAGTAGCACGTTCTCCATTTCGAACTTTGATGCCTTTTAAACCTGTTCATCGTGTTTTTAATCAGATTTAAGATATATATTACACGTTTATATCTCCGGTCACTTTTCTGTTTCTTGAGAAAACGGGTGGAATTGTCGAAACGCCCAAGAAATAACGATGTGATTGTGTTTGTAGGATAATTTCATTCTCATAAATAACATGATGTGTTAATAATAATACTTTCCAAATGAAAAATAATGACACCAGGAAAAAGTTCACTTTCCTTTCATCGTTACTGGTATAAAACTACTATGATATAGATGATATAATAAAATAATACATAAGGCCTAATTTAACGCAATCATCTACGTCAGTAAAGATATGCGTAAACTCTACACAAGAAGCTGAAAGCCGGTTTCTGGAAGGGATACAGATATTTAAGAGTTAGAGCATTAATTTCATACTTTGAACTGGGCCTTTGATAGACAAATTCTGTTTGAGAATCTCCGGGATTGTTTTGTATTGGGTTTTTGATAGACAAATTCTGTTTGAGAATCTCGGGGATTGTTTTGTATTGGATTTTTGATAGACAAATTCTGTTTGAGAATCTCCGGGATTGTTTTGTATTGGGCCTTTGATAGACAAATTCTGTTTGAGAATCTCCGGGATTGTTTTGTATTGGGCCTTTGATAGACAAATTCTGTTTGAGAATCTCCGGGATTGTTTAATTTACAAGAACAATATGTCCCCAGTGAGTCAGTTGTAAATTTGTGAACTTACAACACTAAAACACGGGGTTCGATTCTTTGCGGAGGACAAAGTACACAGAGCCCTTTATGTAGCTTTTCGGTAAAACAGTAACAACAAGAACAAGTTGTGGAAAAGCAAACATTTTTTCTGTATGGAAACATGAAGTTAGAGTTATAACATATAAAATACTAACAAGAAAGATGTGTAATGAGTTTGTACGATAAGATTATTTGATGTTAAAGACCAAGAAGTTTGAAGGTTAGAGGAAAGAGAAACACAGAGGTTTTGTATTAGTGTAGAGATACAGAAGTTTTGTATTAGCGCGCTAGACGGGAACTTATGAATTTTATAATTACGTTTTAACGTATTTTGTTTCATGTTATATTTGTATACATCTTCCTATTCAAGCTCTAAATTTCTTACCCTTGTAAGTATCCCTTAACAAATCACGGAAAGACAAACTTCTACGTGAATATCTCAACGTTGCATAGCACTTGAAGCTATAATTTTACTATTAATTGTTCCAACGTTTCATATTTATTGGGATATTCCGTGGTCATAAGTAAAACTGCATGTAATGCTGAATTCATGCTTTGCGGATGTGAGGAGACGCCATGTTTTCAGCTGCGTGAAATATTTTCTTTCTTGTTTTCAAGAGTTATAAATATTGTGTAAGTCCAAACAAGAATATATATATATATGTTAAGCCACAGTTTGTCTATAAATTAATACACTAAAATAAGTAGAAAGAAAACTTTTATTGCTTACACATATGTTTAGTAAAAGACTTACGGAAGTTTGTAGTACACTATTTGTTGGTTTATGTTTCACGTATTTCTTATTTTATAGCAATAACGTAACTATTGTTAAATTTCTAGTGCATATTTCGACTTATGAGATGCGAAAACTCATTCTGAAAGTCAGTTTCCATTGGTTATTCGTTAGGACAGCAACAGGAGAAAACCATTGAAACAAAATACGGTAAAACGTAATCGTATCAATACTAACTTTCTTTTTTCTTTGAGAAGAAACACTTTCTTTTAAACAAAATTATTAAAAACCTATTTTTGCGATGCTGCGTTGTACATTTGGTGTTATAATTTTTTAGCAATTATCTACAGGAGAGATAATACCAACATTTCATATGTATTAATACATTTCGCGATCACCTACGTAACAACGCACGATTTTTAGAGTTACTGATTTGCATTTGATTATTGATTGGGAGTTTATTACTAAATCAGTCAAACATAAAGGAATGATAATCATCCTAGAATACTAACAAAATTAGAGGTTTAAGGTAGTGATCAACTATTAACTTTGTAAGAAATCTCAATTTAAAAAAAAGCGCGCGTAGTCAATAGCTGTTAGAAACTTGGGAACCAAATACTGTATATAACCATAATATAGTAATTAGGATGTAGACTAACAACCTGCATTAGCGCATAGTTTGAAAGTGGTCAAACTCTAGGTCACGGACCTATCTAGCACTCATTGTTATTGTTCGTTGGAAAAGTGTAGAATAAGCAAAGTTGGTACACAAAATTTGTATTATGAAATACATGACTGTGTCGTGCAGCTTCAGTTATCTTATTAGAGAGAGAGTTAACAATATATATTACTTATGATAATAAATAATTATGATAAAAATATTTTAGTATTTTCTTTACCATACTGAGAATAGGAAGAAAGTTAAATTATTGGTTACAAATCAAAGAAATTTTGAAGAAAAGGAAAGAAATATGTTACTCAACTCCTACTCCAGTGAAGAAACTGTGAGCTGTTTTTAGTTATAGGTGAGTTGTTTTCCATTAACTGTGTTTTTAGTTATAGGTGAGTTGTTTTCCATTAACTGTGTTTTTAGTTATAGGTGAGTTGTTTTCCATTAACTGTGTTTTTGGTTATAAGAGAGCTATTTCCCGTTAACCGTGTTTTTAGTTATAAGAGAGCTGTTTCCCGTTAACTGTGTTATTAGTTATAAGAGAGTTGTTTTCCATTAACTGTGTTTTTAGTTATAAGAGAGCGTTTTCCATTAACTGTGTTTTTGGTTATAAGAGAGCTATTTCCCGTTAACCGTGTTTTTAGTTATAAGAGAGCTGTTTCCCGTTAACTGTGTTTTTAGTTATAAGAGAGTTGTTTCCATTAACTGTGTTTTTAGTTATAAGAGAGCTATTTCCCGTTAACCGTGTTTTTAGTTATAAGAGAGTTGTTTCCCGTTAACTGTGTTTTTAGTTATTAGAGAGTTGTTCTAAATCATTTAAGTATCAAACTCTTAAAGCCTTCTGATTTCGTTCGGTACTGAAACTGTTTTTTTTTTTTTGTCAGAGGATTTTATAATTCTTTAACGCACCAATTTACTAGTAAAATGTTCCAACCTTTGAAATTATTTCTAAGATGTTTTCGTTCAAATTATAACGTTTTACATTACCATGTTATTATATTCGTTAGTAAAGCCGTAATATTCGGGAATTTCTGTAGCATACTCCGATACAGTCGCGCGAGAAAAGGACAGCTACAGTTTGTGGTGTTGTTCAGTATAACAAATGTTCTTCAATTGATTAGAATTTGTAAATTTCATCGATATATTAAAAAAACTTCAAAAATAACATTCATTCTAAAGACATATTCTACAAATCGACATAGGTTGGAAAGTTGGTAAAACAGAACGTTTGTAAATGAATTAATTACACAAAGTAAATAAACGCTAGAAAACAGATTTATTGACTAACATGCATTTTTACCAAGTGCATAACTTTGTTAACTACTTGCTAAGGTTAAAATACCGAAATATTCTAGAATATTGTGACTTATTTTGTTTATGCTTACATATGCGGACGTTGATAATGATATAACGTTTCTTCACAGCTGGACACTTAATAACAAGAGAATAAATAGCATTATTAACTGATGATT